GCTATTTGTCACCATGTAAGAGCCATTGAGATGTTTGGCTGTGGAACATGGTGATATCTGATATATTATGGCCCTAAAGATTAAATGGCTTGGCTTGGAAAACTTCAACAGTCCTAGGGCTTTTAGCATATTGGTGGTAAAATACATGGGGACTACTTGTACATTGGGGACTTTTGTAGTCTTAAAACTTGTCTTTTCCAAAGTTGTTCAGAGAATAGGATATCTATTGCCTTCATCCAGAATCATGATTCACTGGATTGTAGACCATTTCAGGATTTTGAAATCAATTAAACAGGAACATTTTTTTCCTTTGTACTATTTTATTGTCGATTCAAAGATTTGGTTGTAGATGATGAAATTTTCAACTACTTTGCCTTGGTACCACCCTAGTTAGATCTTTCACCAGTGGTAAGGATTGTACACTTCTCAATTAAAAGTGTTTCTGTTTAGTTCATTTTGAAATCCTGAAATGATCTTCTTGATCTCTTCAATTTTGTTCTTTTTCTTTTTATCCTTTTATTATTTTGAAAATATTACAGTTGTTAGATCTTTAATGACCACTTGTGCAATTCATTAAACTGGTCTTCTTGCTACTTTTTTTTTTTTTGATCAATAACATCTTCTTCTTGCTACTTATCATTGATTAATGGTTAACTTGTGAATCCTATAAATTCACAATCCTAATTCATGATCATTTTGGACTTGTAAAGAGCGAATTATAAAACTTTTGTTTTTATTAATGAAACTGATGGAATTAGATCATTGACTTATAGGATTGATCCACATGAATAAATTGGCTGGTTTAGCCACTGTTACAGATTATAAATCATTGGTCACTAGGGGAGTGTTGATGAAATCTCTCAACCTTTGGATTCCAATTTGGAAAGGGTTATGACCATGAAAACTGGAACCTTTTGGATTCCAATTTGGAGACGGAGGGTTTCTGGGTTAGATGGAGGACAGAGGGCTTGGAATTGATGTTGGTTGTTATACTATTACATTAGCTGGCTGTTGTATTCTTTGGGGCATGGGTGTTAGAGGAAGGTGACTATTAGGTTGTTGTTTGGTGGATAATTTGTTCTGATAGTTCTTGGAGTCTGCATAATTTTATCAAAGGTTGAGGGAACTTCATCTTTTAGAGCATCCTGACATCGAATTTGTCATACCTGTCAGCGAAGCTTCTGTAGTAGAGAACAATTGGCAGGAGGTGTGTCAGCCTTAGAGCATCAGCATCCTGACATTGAATTTGTCATACCTGTCAGCAAAGCTTCTGTAGTAGAGAACAATTGACAGCAGGTTTGTCAGACTTAGAGCATCCTGACAAGGTATGATAGAGCATTCAGTAATTATATTGGGGGGCAACATGATGGTGGATCTTACATGCGATCTTCTGACAAGAAGAAAGAAAGCCAGGCTGAGAGAAATAGGTCTTGAATCTGAGTAAAGATATGGAACAAGTAACCGGGGTATTTATTTAAGTCATGTGATCAAAGACGGGGATGATGGAGGGAGAAGGGATAAAGAGAAAGATAGGGAGAAAATAGCAAGGGTGAAGAATGTAAGAAGGAGAAGTTGGCCTGGCTAAATTGCCCCTCTCACCCTGATGACCATGGTTCTTGCCTTCTGGGCCCAATGATACAACCCTCAGAGACCAGGGGTGTACCCTGTCTGACCACACCCCAGTTCGCATCAGCCTCCTGACAAGAAAAGCCACACCGACATTCTTCAATCTTGTATATCAGCAACTCAGAAAATGAATTCATTAAGAAAAAATAATGAAGTACAACAAGAAGTTGTGAAGGATACAAGTAGACACCCTGTGTCTAAACTCCGAGCATTACAACTATGCCCAAAACATAGACTGTCTTTGTACTCCTTGCTTAGAAAGACCACCCGCCAAACAGTTGGCAGATCCTCTGACCCATTGGACTTGAATAGACATGTCCCTAGAAAGCCATTTGTACCTCCTAGGTTGTTCCTTAGATGCCAAGAGATTTCCTTCACCTTTCTTTAACCAGTCCACCACTACTTTGGAATCTCCTTCAATGATGCCTTTCAGAACCCAACTCCTTGGCTTTCTCAAGACCAAAGACAGCTGCTAAAAATTATGCTGTAGCCATGTCATTTTGTTCAACTGGACCTGAAAATAAGGCACAAATATTACCTTCCTCATTCCTGATCACCCCTCCAATTCCAGAGGGGCTTGGATTGCCCACACAACTCCAATCAAAATTTAGTTTCAACCAGCCACAAGGCGGAGGTGACCAATCCACTGCTGCAATCTGTCTTCTAGAAGAGTTAGCTATAGCCCCCCAAGATCTGAAGAAATCATCAACTTTAAAATCTGAGAAAAGAACTGAGGTACTGGCCCATTGTGCAACTCTTAGGGTTGTGACCTCAATCAATGCCTCCTTGGTTCTTTCCTTTTCTCCAAAAATTCTAGAGTTTCTTTCCTCCCGAACTGTCCAAACCACTGCTGCCCTTGTGTCATGGTCTGATACAGGCTTAGCCTTGCCTACGCTTGGCGAGCTTACTTGAGTGGCACTATCGTAAATTTTGCTAGTATTTGGGAGAAGTCATGTTTCCTATTGGTAGACCACCAAAAGCTTAACGTACTTTTTGAGGAGGGGTGGTCGACCTCCTTGGGTGCCTGACCTTGGCACTCCTAGACCAACTTCCCTTGCGGGGTGGCCTTGGTTAATGGCTAGCACGGCTACCAGGGTTCCTCATGGGTGCACACATGCTCATGGGGATAGTGCATGGACTGGCACTGTGCCACCGACATTGAAGGGAGGCTTGGCATGTGGGCCTGGCCTAAGCATGTCCCTTCACTATGCCAGCCCCATGTCCAAGCTGAATGAGCTACCCCGTTGCCCATAGCACACGGGAGTGTTCCGGCCCAGCGGTTGCCTATCATCATCGGCACAAATGTGCCTATCATTGTTGGCATACAGGTGTCCCTTCTCATTGGCGCCAAGTCGCCCCACATCATGGCTGTCCCCCTTTGGCACGTAAGAGGCGCCTCCCATGGACCGGCAAGAGCCAGCAGAGAGCCCCGGCCATGTGCAATGAGGTCATGAATCATGATCCAGTGCCACTAAACAACTCTCCCAAGTTAACGGGAGGAAGCCAACTGCAACCAAATAGCGAAGCGAACCAGTCCCAGATAAAACCAACAGGAGATGAACTGCAGTCTCATTGTTAAGCTTGCATAAGCAGCACCAGTTGGGAGTCGAACACAAGCTTGGTCCCTTCCTTTGAAGTTTATCAATATTAATGCAGCCATAATACACTTCCCAACAAAAAGCACCGACTCTAGGAGGGATGGAAGAGCACCGAATTTCCTTAATAGGGGAGGGTAAGGAAGATATATGGGAGTTAAAAAAAGACTTACAAGTGAAGGACCCAACTGAATTGAGGGTCCACACCCCCTTCCCTAAGGACCACAGGATTTAGCAAAGAAAGTAAGGCAGACACAAAGGGGATTTTAAACTCTGAGATTCCTAGTGAAGCCCAAATTCCAGTTTAAACTAGAAGGAGGGGGGGGGCAAATGAACTCAGACATAGGTCTACCCTTGAGATTGGAAAGAGCATAAAGAGAGGGGAAGATCTCCATCAAAGGGGACTCCCCAATCTAAATGTCTTCTCAGAATCTAATATTCTGACCTGAAGCCAAGTCATACCAGATGCAACTGAGGAATGTAGGAAGATAGTCATAGGTAGCTTTCCAGGGAGTAGTTAACTCTGTGAAGACAACCAGCATCCCGTCCATTACTTGACAGCCCATGAATACTTGCTACCACTTTTGTGTTAAAGCCTTTCACTTTCTAACGGGGTTGTCTATAGCCATTTGCTCAACAAAGCCAAAATTTTCATTCTAATATTCCCAATCCCCCTTTTTCCTTTAGCTTTGTCACCTTCTCCTAACTTACCAAATGATCTTTCTTCCCTTCCCCAGGTTCCCGCAAAACATCTCTCATAATCTTTTCCAAATTTCTCACAACAGCTTGGGGCATTCTAAAAACCAACAAACCATAATACCCAAAGTCAAAAAAAAAAGTTGTAGTTGAGCCCGGATCTGCTGTTTCCGCAGCTGTCTATGATGGGCTGCATAAGCAATCACAAGTGGACACACTAGTGTTTTGTATGCATGGGATCCACACCCCTTGTGGATTGGTTATGTAGCCCATTATACAGAGCAGTGTGAGCAGCAGATCCCGAATGGTTGCAGTCAGGTTGGACCTCACCATTTAGATGAATTGAGAACATCTCCCATGGATAATAACATACAAGTACGGGAGATGTTCCTGATGTGCGACTGGAACATGCTGTGAGGTCGGTGTGAGGAGCAGATCCGGACTCCATTTAGATACAGACTACCATGCACATAAAAGTCCTCTGTTATATGGTGATTCATGCCTTAAGGCCCATAGTAAGGACAAAATGGAATATGCAATACAGAATTTACTGTCAAGAATCGATGGCATCTAAGAATATAGTATGGTTGATAAGGGCATTTATCAATTTAGGAGTCTCAACCACCTCATTGCTTGCATGTGCCTGATTGGCTTATTGAATTGAAATTGATGGACTAAAAACATCAAAATTAAATTAATTGAAATGAAGTGGTTTTTTATCGGAGATGAATTATGATTGGATAGTCTTGATTTTTCCCTCACAAATTTGTCTCTGTTTCTTGCTATGCCTAATTTATCAAATTTATGATATTCTTTGGCATTACTCATTTCTAGTTGAACTTTTCCTTGTACTGTTCATGATACGGTCTTTTAGGTCTATTAACATAATTTTCTTGTATTACACTTGAACTGATTGCAAAGATATGGACAATTTGCTTTGTCCTTGACACCTTGTTTTGAGTATCATGTGTTGTCAAGGTCCTCATTTTCTTCACTTCTTTGAAGCACAAAACTGGACTACAGAAATATACTATTCTCAATTATCCCTTCAGGGTTCATCATGATTCTTTCTTGTTTGATTAGGTTCTGCAACAACAGCAGCGGTATGAAAGGGAAGTAACATTAGCTGAAATTGACAACAGCCGCAAGATACTACTCAAGAAACTTGAGGAGTACAAAGGGGAGGACTTGGAAGTGATCCATGAGGCTTCTGCCTTTGCTAGCGAGACGGTTGAGCAGAAAGATGATCTCCTCCTTCCGCCATATCCAAGCCGGCCCCCACATTCTTTAGTTTTGGACAATAGCTATTCCTCTCACTTCTCTTTTGCTCGTAAGTTTTATCGGAGCGGTGATCCAATCCCTGAGGCAAAAAAGAGTACGAGTGAGTTGGATAAAAATCATAACCAAGGACCTACTAATGACCCTCCGAAGAGGATGAGACTTGTCCTAAACGTGGCATCCAAAATGGCCCTTACCCTCGTTGGTGTGAGATCTGTGCTAAACTTGGCTGGTTTTGAGCCAAGGCTCAGGAGGAATGCCCAGTTTAAGGTGCTTGGCATTCTTCAAAAGCCTTCCAATGACAAAAGAACCGCAATTAAGTGTCCACCTGGGAAATTCTTGGTGATGGAAGCTGGGGAACCTCGGTGCCTTGTGAAAGAGAGGGTTGAAATTCCATTTGGGACTTTTGTTAAGACACCCGATGTAAGTTATGGTTGCGGCTGAAATGGTATGATGCATCATTTCTTGTAAAGTCTGTGTCGGTTGTTAGTTCTGAGGTTGAAATTGCATCTTAAAGAGCAAAGAATACTTTGTCGTCGATTGTTTTTTTTTTGATAGATAAAGCAACTTATATTAGCTAATAGAAATATCAACATAGTTTAGTACATCAGGTATCCCCTGGGTTAATTTAAGAAGTAAAATAAGTCCTGTGGAGATTTCTTTGCTGTCTGGGCCACTAAATGAACTGGGATATTGAACTTTCTATAAACATGACTGAACTGTAATAGCTGTTGCCTGGTCTTAAGCAAAAGCCATAGGCAAGATCCAGGAAGAGAAGCTTACGATTGAAGCGCTTGGATCACTTTCAAAGAATCCGAATAAATTAAGATATTGCTTTTGGAAAGCTGAGCAGCCTGCTGTGTTCCTCGCAAAATAGCAATAGCGTGTATTATTTTCCTTTGCTGTGTATAACCTTGTGGATTTTTCCTCAACCCTGGTTAAGGCTGATTCGACAAGTCTCCGCTACAACCAGCAGCCAGAGACCTTTATCAACGGAACCAAGCCAATTGACACTTCAAAATCTTAAAATGTATTTTGAGAAAACTTACCAGCTTTTAAGTGTTGTACATTGGGTTTACTGAACTTTGTAAACCTCCAAAATAGTGGAGCTTTTAGATTTGGAACATTTCCAAATGGGTGAAAGTTCCAAATCTGGCTCTTCAGTATTTTTTATGGGCTACACAGAAAGACACACGGAGGTACAGTTGATTAGTATTTAGCAAAGAAACGTGGGTGTTCGTCCAAAGTAATCAAGACCTTGGGCTAGGCTGGCTAAGCCCACGGATTTCTCATGGTTGGGCTGATACACATGTATACATGAATCAGGAGAAGTTTACTGTGTTCTTCTCTAATCACTTGTGCATGCGGACCTAGTAGGGCATGACATAAAACTAGATCCAATCCGTCCATCAGTTAGAGGCTTTAAGGATTATTATTGTTTTCTGTTTTCTGGTATTGAGTTCTATACACTGTTGGGATGTGATATGGGGCGCGTTGTGGGGAGATAATGAGAAATCTTTTCTGGCAGACTACAGTTCACACCTTCCCCAATATGATCTGATACGGCAAGTCGGCAACTCCACATTTCATGCATGATGGGCCCCAGTTCATTTTAAGATGTGTGGTATGGGAGGTGTTGGAACGTTTCTTTAAGGAGATCCCAACTCGTTTATCCAAGCCCCACTCCGGTTTGAGATCACATCTCCGCCCCACAAGGAGCTGCCCCACAACGCCCATCACATCCCTGTCATGTATTAGAAACATCTCCAGGACTGATACTATCATCGGGAGATGTTTCCAATACTTGGCGGGAATATACTGTGCGGCAGAGATGTGAATTCCTCCGATTTTGGTATATGTGAGTCCATCCTAGAGTTTACATCTAAACCCCACAATACCCACAACACAGCCCCACCTTGTATTAGGAATATCTCCAGATGATATCTCATCATCTGCCATACTTATTATCGGGATGATATAGTCTTTAAAAAGCTTTAATTATAAGAAATGCCTTATTTGGCAAGTGGGACGTCCTAATCCTTCGCGTACAGGTAATAAACTTTAGTCCAGGTAAGGTACGGTTGACCAAGTTCTAGATTGAAGACGATACGTTCAACTTCAACCGGTTCATGAACGTTTCGTTAGACTAGGATTTAGAATTTAGAGGAGTAAATGCATGATGCATCTGAACCCAAAATTGTTCCATCATATCATATGATGCCTCCACTCCATCTCCGTCGTCCAATAGTAATCAATCAAGCCTCGCTTTTCATACGTGCTTCATTACACGTGATAAGAGTCCAAGACTCTCTCTGTAGTCTGTAAGTAAAACCATTCTCATCAGACAGCCCCTGGTTTCTCCATAATTGATTAAACCGTATTGCGATTGATGAGGATTCGGAAATCAATAAACAAATCCAAACCCACCCTTCGCTTTCCCGAAAGGTTGTAGCTCTCTCTGTCCAGTCTCCAGTCTCCACTCGCGCACCGGCGCACGTTCCTTTTCTTTCCCTACATAAAAATATCTAATGCCTACTCCTTTCATTCCAAGCACCTCCCTGTATTTTACACCAGACCTGACCTGAAGATAAACACCAAAGAAGAGAAATGCATCTGCTGAGCAACATCCTTGCTTCAAAAGCTACACTTCTCCTCTCTAGAGGTGAGTATGTATATCTCTGTCTCTGGCAATCTATCCCCTCCTCTGCTTCTCCATCCTTCACCTTCTTCGGTTAATGAACTACTTTAATCTGATCGCAGGAACCCGTACATGCGATGTTGCAGCGGAACTATCGACAATTTGCGCCCTGCAAGGACAGGTTTCGAGATCCAGGTCACGCCATTCCCAAGAGCTTTCGTGGGCCAAGAGGGATGGATCGAGGAACGCCCTCGTTTCTACCACTACCAGTCTAATAATAAACAGTATATTCTCTCTCTCTCTGTCTGCTATCCTATGTGCATTAATTAGTTGATGCATCGTTTGGATTTTGTTAAAGAAACAATCGATCTAAATCAAAATGGAAACTTATGTTGATAACAATTTGAATTGTATGGTGGGTCAAGGTGTGGAGAGAAGTAGGATGTTGAGTGTAAAAGCTTTCACTGAAGAGCAAGAAGCTCTTGTAGTGAAGTCATGGAATGCAATGAAAAAGGATGCCGGAGAGTTGGGTATGAAATTCTTCTTAAGGTATATCTGCATCTATCTATATCTATCTATAGAAAGTAGAAAATAAGTAATTCAAAGAGAGAAAGAGAGAGAGAAATTACAGATATATTGGACTGTTGCAGGGTCTTCGAGATCGCACCGTCGGCACAGAAGCTGTTTTCATTCTTGAGAGGCTCCGATGTTTCCCTCGAACAGAATCAAAAGCTCAAACCACACGCCAAGACCGTGTTCGTCATGGTCTGTTTCCTTCTTTTGCCCCTTCTATTTTTTTCTTTTTTGCCTTTATGGTTTTGGCTTGTGGTAATGGTTCTTGGTTGGAGAGTTGAGTTGAGTCGGTAGGAATGGCAACGTGGCGGGTCACCTCACTCCGTCAATTTCAGCTTCGGTCAGTTCCCCACAATACATCGCAACCGTGCAGTAGGAACATCTCCCGTACTTGCATCTGGAAGATGTTCCCAATTCACGGACGGGATGTGCTGTGGGGCGCCCTCACTCAGTGAGGCACAAATGTGAATTCTTTGTCCCCGGCCTCTTAGCCTGTAGCTAAGATACAGGAGTTGCGCCCCACTGCACATCCCCGCCGTGCATAGGGAACATGTCCCGATGATGATATCATCGGTTCTGGTATTATCATCGGAGATGTTTCATATACACGGCGGGAATGTACTGTGGGACGTTGTAGGGCGCAGATTTACAATCTCTTGCCCTTTTAGGACAGGTGTGACGTGGAATGCTATTCATCCTGGGTCCCGCCATGTCTGTAGGGGGAATATTCCAACTTCCAAGAGCTGCATAAGCTCGTTGTTCATTACAATCCTTTATTCTTACACATAAGAGCCAATCCGATAGCCAATAGCCATAGATAAAAGATTAAAATTGGAGAGGCAATGGGTTCGTATGAATAAAGGCCCAATGGGCCCTATTATGTTAACTGCTAGGATGATGGGCTGAAAACGTAGGCCTGACAATAAGTGGATCCCAAGTCTAATGAATCAAGTTTGGTCTTCACTCTTCACAAATAATCCAAGACAAAATTTTCTTCTGATCGTGTTCTCCCTTGTGTTTGTTAGACTTGTGAGTCGGCGGTGCAACTCCGGAAGGCCGGCAAGGTTACAGTGAAAGATTCAAGTCTGAAGGAGCTGGGTGCTGTTCACTTCAAATATGGTGTCGTCCCTGAACATTTCGATGTAAGATTTCGAAACCCCATTTGCATTCTTCCCTAATCAATCGCTGCTGATCTCACGCTCCTCAGCCAGAGGTCTTGGCATTTCATCACACACAAATTAACCAGACCTGTAGATGATGGTTCTGTAGGTGGTGAAGTTCGCGCTGTTGGAAACAATAAAAGATGCAGTTCCAGAGATGTGGTCGCCGGAGATGAAGAACGCATGGGGAGAAGCTTATGATAAGTTGGTAGAGGCCATACAGAAAGAAATGAAGCCCTCCTCTGGGGATTCTTAAATAGTCTTAAACATGAACGTGATATCGCTTCCGTCAAATTCATAAATAATCTTAGAAAGACTGAAGTAGCAATAAATATTTCAGATTCTTTCTATTGTGAATTACTTGTACTGTCTTTGGTAATAGTTTGTATCATGGTAATTAGAATCTCTCTTCTTTTCTTCATGTTGTTTTGTTCTTTCTTCGGTTCATTCTACTGTCCGGCCGGCATTGAGACGATGCATGGATGGATAGTGGATTCTAATGGTGGGTGTTTACTATGAGTACTGTTGGACGCAAGACAAGACTGTATCAATATTTTAATAAAAGAGGTTTGATCTGACCAAGTGCAAGGATCTTTGGTTCAAAAAATGAGAGGAACGGGGTGAAAAGCCTTTATGGCCTTATGGGCCCCAAACCAATTTATCCCCCGAAAGATGATTTGTTGATCATTCAGCCACAACGATCAGATTAACAGTGTTGCTCTGATATATGTGTGTGTACATAATGATCGGGGTTGATTGCTTTATTTAGGAAGGGCTGGAAAAAAAGCATAGAAAAAGATTAAGGAAGGGTCTGGGTTGGTTGAATCCCCAATTTTAAAACGAGCTCTTGAATCTCTCAAGTGTCTTCAATAAAGTGAAGTCAAGTCCAACGATGTCAGTGGAATCTTCTCTTGAATTAAACGGATATGGATGTTGAGAAGTTATATATGAAAAAGGGATTGGCGAAATTGTTGAAGGTTGGTAATTTGGACATACTCCCTGTTTTGATAAAGAGGACACGCCGCTGTATTTTGAAGTGGGGACCCATAACGAAACATAGAAGAATCAGTGGTCTAACCTAAACGGCTAATACCTAAAAGCACACATCACCTTGTGTATCATTTATGAAAATTAAGATGTGATCACATCAAGTGATTATGAAAAATCTATGATGCGGAAAAGATATGGTATGGGAAGAATTTTGATCAATTAAAATCTATTCATGAATTTTGATAAATAACATCTAATTGGCTATCACATTTATAATTCCAGTTGATTGGTCAAAAGTTTTTCAGATATCATATTTTTTTTCATGTCTAAGTATCCTTTACATTAAAAAAAAGCAAATTCATTAGATCATACTCAAAAGATTTGTCCTCATCAAACACTTGTGGCCCTGCATTGAGAACATTTCTCCATAAATGAAAAAAATAAAAATCCAAATCTCCTGCCCACAAATTCTGCCCACGTCTATTCACATAATATCGCAGTCCCATATGAAGAATATCTCATCCACCTACATGATATTATGCAGGGGAAGATGTTCCCAATTCATGAAAAAGTGTATTATGAATAGATGTGGGCAGAGTTCTCGATGGACAAATGATCCGGAGTCAAAAAATAAATATATACGAAACTATTTAACACACATGGTTATGATTATTGTGAGGATGGTGTAAGGACTGAATCTGATTTTCGAAAAAGTGTTCCAACATGATCTATTCACGCACATCTGATGGATCCCAATTGGGTAGATCATATTGGCAGTCAATTGAGGCAGTTTTCTACTTTTCTTCGTTGGGAGGAGATCCCAACTCCAGATTTCGGTAACGTGTAAGATTGGCCTGCCTGCCACTCTGCGAGTCATGAATTGTGAATTGTGATTAGGGATGCCAATGAGTCCAAAAGTTCAACACCATATGAAGATTTTATTTTATTTTTTAAAAAAGTGATATTTTATATTTATATAAATGCATTCTATGTGTACACGTTAAAGTCGTTAATTTTATTTAAATTTTTAATTTTTCTACAATTTAACTGGTGTAAGAACACATTTACGCATATATGTATGCATCGGCAAGTATGTGCTTTATAGGGGTAAATTGCTGAAACCTCCCTCGAAGTTTCTGGTTAATGTTGAAACCTCCCTTGAAGTTTGGTAATTGCAAATCAGCTTTCATAATTTTTTAATATAGTTGCTATTAGACCCCCTCTAATAAAATATTCTGAAAAGAGGCATAAAATGTTCAAAATACTCATGAAGTTACTTTTGATAAAAATGCTCATTTTCCAAAATTTTTCTTATGAATCACTACCTCAAACCCTTTCAATCTCTTTTATGAAATTGATTTATTTTGCAAATTTTCCCTTCATATCAATCACTCAAAGATACAAGTACAACTTTAAACCATTTTTTCATAGAAACCAGAATCAATAGCTAATTTTATGGGTATTTTGGACATTTCCATAGCTCTTGTTAGATGATTTTAATAGAGTGGGTCTATTTGCAACTGTATCAAAAAGTCTAGGGGAGGTGATTGCAATTATGGGTGTGAATGGATTGGTTTTGGATTGGACTCCGTCCAAACCAAAATCAATTTGGATGGATTGGACAGACCAACAAGACATTGAATCGGACCACTGCAAACTTAAAGGTTCAAAGTATTTATTGGATTGGATTAGACTAGGTCCCTCCATAATTAATTTATATTGGATTGGGTTGGATTGAGCCAATATTTGGTTCATTGATAATATAAGTGTCAATAGATCAGGTTTGGGTTAAAATAAATCCAAACTAAAACAAATTTGAACAGATTGGACAGTCCACATTGGATTCGACTAGTCCAAAATGGTTCAATATATTCATTGGATTGGATTGGACCTAGTCCATTTGTAATGGACTCACATTGGACTGGATTGAATTGGACCAAATCCAGTCCAATTGACACCCCTAAATTTGCAATTACCAACTTCAAGAAAGGTTTCAGCAACAAATAGAAACTTCAGGGGAGGCTTCAGCATCTTACCCAACTTTAAATAAAGATAACGTTAAAACAATTTGGAATAAATCCGAATCCTACGGAATTACAAGCCTACTCAGGATCATCTCTAGGTGGGGACACTGATGCTTCATCTTCAAGAGGGAAACTCATCTAATATATAAGAAGGAAAAATTCTCAAATAACACCGGTTTCAAGTTTCAACACTTCCCTCTTTATGGGGCAAAAGATGGAGATGATTAATTATATTTGTGTTTGGTATTGTTGTATTTTTATGATAATGCCTATTTCAATTATAAACAGCCTTAAAACAACAATTATATGTCATTTTATATTCCTCAATGTAAAACGTTTCAAGTAGAAACTGCAATACTACCAAACACAACCTATAATAATGGTGATTATTAATATTTGCAGTTTGCGTTGTTGTGAGCATTATATGTATATATGCCTAGCTACAATTAAGGAAGTTAACTGAAATCCTTTGGAGTTAGGGATGACAATTTTTATCCAATCCCATTGGTACATGCCCCTACCGTACCTGATGGGGCGGTTTTTTTCGTTTGAAGAACGGGTTTTGGGGTGGAAATGGGTTTTAGGATTTTATAACCCGTATGGGTATGGTATTAGGCTAAACTCAATTTTCTCCGACCTGTATATTATTAGAAAGCATATAAATTTTATGTACCAATTATTGAATTTAATAATATTCTCAATTTTATGTAAAATATAATTTGATAGTTCATGTGTTTTTTATATATCTTAATCAAATAATTGGAAATTTTGTTGTTTATTTCTATTATTTTACTTATTTATTGTTTGTATATCATGGTTTTTAAAACTGAACTGGTGACCGAACCGGTCAAGGGTCTGGTTACCGGTTCAAATGTTCTGACCGTTCGACCCGAATGGTTGGCCCATTTTGACAAAAAAATTAAAAAATTAAAAAATTGAAAAACGGTCAAAACTGTTCGAATAGTTAACTGACTGGTTCAGTAGTTTGCTGATCAAAATCAAAGATTTAGGGGAAAAAAGCGGTTTTGGGAAAAAAGCAGAACCGATCAGGTGACTGGTTCCCGGTTTTTCTGATTTGACCGTCTGATCAGGTCTGATTTTGAAAACCATGTTGTATATGACAAGAAATAATAGAAAATTAGATATGGGTTCTAAATCCAACCTGCCCTACCCTTGAATGTGGGGAGGGTAGGGTTGGAGAGGGTTTTGCATTTTCATATACGAATAAGGTTTAGATTCTCAAAATCCAACCCACTAAGGGTTTTGGGGAGGATACGGGTTGAAAGGTTTAGGAAGGTGAATAAGGAGTAGAAATACAAATACTGTACATATTTATATTTATGCTCTTTGCAAACTGATCTGTATAAAGTTAAATTTAGAAAAATATAAATACAAATACGTAAAGTAAAAAAGCATATATTTTATATATTTTACATATAATTGTACTGTATATATTTATATTTGCACTCTTTCCAAACTGAACCTATCAATGTTTCCTACTGGGTTTAGCTATTACGTAGAGGGCATTTTTTGAGAGGCTTTCTTGCAAAGGAATCAAAGCATATATTTTTCGTAAAGGTCGTTGCTATCAAGTTGATAATCATCGAGATACGGTTCCTTTGAAAATAAATAAATAAATGGAAAGTTATCGAAAACGTTACTCAACTTGATGAGTGATTTGTAGGTCAACTCAATCCAAACCAAAAAGGCTTCTGGCTTCTTGGCTTTCCAACTGAGCTCTAGTATGAACCCCGGTAATGGGAAAGAGCGATCTAGTAATTTTGTTGACTCATTTGGTTTCGCTGTAGACTTGTAGCTGGAATAAACAACAGCTAATTAAAACATTTTGAAATTAAGTTTCATCATCTCGGCTTACAACTTACAAGAAGGAAAAGGGCCAAAAAAAGTTTCAGCAACTCCATCAGAAAGCCTGCACACATTTATGCTTTGGAAGATGGAGTCATGGACTTTATATGTCTATTGAATGACAAGAATAAGAAAAAAAGAAAAAGAAAAACAAGAAATTAGTGGGTCCTCCCTCTCCCCTTCAAATAAAGCTTCTTCTTCTATTTTTTATCAATACCCGATTCCTCAATTAGCACTCCCCAGCTGGAAACCCAATCCGGCGATGTCGAGGCCAGTGCCTGTCGGAGTCTTACACCCACCCGGCACCCCGGGCTCCGGGCGCTAATCTGACGGCGGTTCTACTGCTGGAAAAAGGTCGAGGGGGTTGGGTTCTGTTTAACACCGAGAACCTTGCTGGCCTTGACGGCAAGAATACATAGGTCGGAGAGAGAGAGAAGTTTGTTTGACTGGGAAAGTGGCATGAGGAAGTAAATTTGGCCGATTTCCAATTCCTCGTTATCGCCCAAATGGGGAACGCACGAATCCAGGTTCATGGATTCTG